CCTACTCACCAATAACAATCTACTTCTTTCAGTACAGTAAATAAGAACATTTAAATGAAGATATCACAACAATAAAACACAATCCATGTATGTTTTGTTCTTGCTGCATGGGTCTTGGAGAAGGTTTTCATCAGAGATCATATCAACATCTAAACATGTCAATAGCCCGACCACTGACTAATCTGATCACTGACACAACACAATCATCAGTCATACAGGATCCTGACAAAAGTCCTCCTAAGTTTACAATAATGTGACTACATGGACCAATAGATTGATAAGCTTTTCATCCAACAAAAATGGAAACATACTCTTATATTGAAGAAATGCTGTAGCTCGGGCTATCCACATTTATTTTGAGCTTCTGCCTTACTTTTAATATTTGGAGGGTATTTCTAATATCACTTTTTTATGTATTTATGTTACCTCTATTTAACCAGGAAGTGCCATTGAGGAAATTAGAAGAAAGAAAAGAAAGAAATCTTCATTTTCATTGTAACAAATTTTTCTGGCTGGCTTTGGTAAGAGGTTGACTACTTTATATGGGTTATTGATCTGATTGGTTGAAGTTCACCTGTAGTAGACAGTGTTAGACAGATGGTTCTCACAAAATTAAGTTTTATAACTAGGTCCGAGAACAATGACCACGCCTTGCACTCATCCTATTTCTGCTCAAAATGTACTTAAACACGCCTTATCCGTTCACTCCCTCCTTGACTCAGTTTCTACATGCATCAGGCAAGAAATACAAAAAACGAATACCTTGAACCATGAAGAACGAGCACCGCTTCTTTGCCCTGAACCTCAGCTCAAAATTAATGTAGCCCAGCTGTTTTAGCAGGATGCCACAACAGCCACTCATCCATCACCTCCAAATCCACAAACGTTCAATCAACTGCCCACGGCCCTCGCCCTAAGGGCGTCGACAAGAGAGGCAGACCAGTCCTCTACCCAGAGCGGGTGTAGAGCGAATGGCAACTTGAGGCATTGCATCTGAGGTTGTTGGAATTGTTACGAACCATCCTCTCAGCATGGCAGAGCACAGCCCACATAAGTATCAAGATACACCAATCAATATCAGCGCTCCCACCACCGCCTTAAAGAACCACCCAGATTGACAGTTTGTTAACTACCTCATACAAAGGTTATGCAAGATTTCACATATGTATGCCACAACTTGCAGTCAGCTACCTACGAGCCCGACATAGTTGATAAACTCTTGGAAAAGACACATTTGTGATCGGTCCATTTCCCAGACCACCGTTCCTACATACGTAATCAGTCCAACCCACGTCACCATCAGGAAATAAAAAAAAAGAATAACTACTGTACGTCATCTGCATCATCCCCCAAGGTTGATCCATCTTGTCACACCTCCTTTCCGTAATCTTCTCTGTCCCATCCCACATGCCACACCAGATGATGCATGAAAATGGAGCTAAAATTATGGCACCAGTTCCTCCCATCGTGGAACAGCATTTCATTCTTTTATGACAATCACATCACTAAGCCAGAATACATCCAGCTAGTCACAGACGCAGCACCTCCAACCGAAGTTGCGATTCCTGTGACAGGCGGTTTTCAGCCAAACGGCTGCTCAAATTTTCATTCCTCTCTTCTTCCTCTGCTTCCTCCAAAACGTACCCACTTCTCATAGCAGTCACTGACGGAATTGACGGAAGGGCCACCAGGAGCCTGTGGCTTAATTTGACTCAATACAGGAAACCTCATCCAGCACATAGATAGCTCTTTCTGTGGGTGGTGCAATATGGGTGTTCTTTGTTAGAGGAGCAATTTTTTCTGGAGAATTCTGATAATGAATAAAGAGTTTGGTATGTTGACTATTTATGCAGCCAATTGGCTTTCAACCACACAAGATTGAGCAATAACAGGCCTGTGATGCCCTTAGATGTCCAGGGCTGCACACACACCACACTGAGTGGATCAGTGTGTGTCAACCCATCACCAAGACCTGGGGTAACCCACTGAACCCCATTCATGGTAAGGAAGGACTTCCCACTAAGAACGAGTGATAAGCTTTCATTGATTAAGTCACTACCCTTTGTACACACCGTCCCATGCTACTACCAATTGGATGGTTTAGTAAGGTACTCAGATTGATCCCACTTGGGTTCCTCATGGCTCTGGAGTACCAAGAAGGTGATCAAACTTGACTACCTAGAGGAAGTAAAAGTCGTTGCAAGGCCACCCCATCGGAGCCACTCGCCGTGTGCACATCTAATTTGATTGTACCTGGATGCTAAGGGTTTCTCGCTGGGTTTATTTTGCGGGTGCATTGCCAGAGACTGTGGAAATTGTTTGGTGTTGCTCTTTGAGCCAACCTGAAAAAACGCTCTGACTCGCCCTTGGAGGAAGATGGCTTCCATCCTCTTTCTCTGTCGGCTATCTCGTAGGCAGGTCTCTGGAGGTGTGGTGTCCATCTGGCAACTGGGCCTCTCTTTGCCCTGTTTGCATGGGCGAGACCAGGATGGTTTGGATATAGATTACATGTTCTTA